AACAAAGTTGTACCGTGCGCCGCCGCCGCCGCCGTGCAATACTGATGAGACTAGGATGTGCCGAGTCTGTGATTCACCGACGCACGTACATCCATTTACCGCCGCCGTACGTACATCTATCCATTTACGGCGCGCAGACTACGTGAATATACCATGTGGAGACGTCTATCCACAACCACGTTGGGTTGGCAATCAGCATATTAGCACGCTGAGGCAATGAATATAATATAATGTAGTCATTGTGTCCTAGTATTCACAAATACTTTTGATTTCTCTGCAGTCCTCTCCTGAAGATACGGGTATACTACACACAGATAGCACTAACAGTAACAAGCACACCTACCCCAACTAAACCATTATATTAGAAGTACACTAACCCGACTCATATCTACATTTCTATACATACACACATATTTCTATTTACGTACTACATTTTTCTAGTTCGTGTACATACACTCCTGGCATTAGAGCATCAACATTGTGCTGCTATGTCATGCACCGGTCACATCTACTCCAGTACAAATGCACGAGAGTCGTGTGTGTTCTACACTCTTTCTCAGCATGCACGTAGTAGTCTGCATATTACTCATCTATAAATAAACACGGGTAGCCTTTGTCCCACAACATCCCATTTACAGGCTTGTTTATTCTGACTGAGACATAGCAACCACTGCACATACGGAGGTGCGCTTCATTCTAAAGATGAAAGTATAAGCGGAGTGAGTGTGTGTCTTATTTAATGTAGTTTTACATCTTGCATGATCGTAACCATTAACATGGTTTTCCACTCGGCCGTGACGGCCCCCAGGTATCTATCCGCCTGTCTGTCTGTCTGTAGAGCCTAGCCTAGACAAAAGCTGCTATAATCCATCCCTAGTATCACGCTATTACGCCTCATAGATTTGGATGGATCATGATGGGTGGATGCACTTCTTCTCAAAGTATGTGCATGTGCACGTACGAATATATTATCTATATAATTTATATGTATATATATTATAATATATATATATATATTATATATATATTATTAATATATATAATATATATTATCAAATATCACATGATCTCAATTTGTTTGAGCGACGCTATACTACGTGAATAAATTCTGAATGAAATCTACGTGAATGAATTGATCGATGCTGTAAGCATGCAATATGCACGTGCGAAGAAAGCACTCGACACCACGAAGCTGACAAAACTGCAGGGAAATTTCTCTGGCACTGGGACAAGCCCACATTGTTATGGACATCCCACGCCGCCACGTAAAGCACAGCCAATAGAATGTCAGAAGTCATTAACTATCGTCGGGCTATTCACGTATGCAAGGAAAATGAGAATCGCACCGCCGGCCCGTGAATGGATTTCTTGTCACCGCACGCACAATTACCCCCGCACTTCTGTCCCTACAATGTACTTGTTCTTCCCTCTAAGCTCTTACTCTCTTCGCACATCTCTCCCCTCTCTCTCTCTCTCTCTCTCTCTCTCTCTCTCTCTCTCTCTCTCGCTCTCGCTCTCGCTCTCGCGCTCTCTCTCTCTCTCTCTCTCTCTCTCTCTCTGTCTCTGTCTCTCTCGCTCTCGCTCTCGCGCTCTCTCTCTCGCTCTCTCTCTCTCTCTCTCTCTCTCTCTCTCGCTCTCGCTCTCGCTCTCTCGCTCCCTCTCTCTCTCTCTCTCTCTCTCGC